CGTCTAACAAATGATGACTGATTTGCATGTTCATGAGGGAAATAAGTATTTGTTCCCCTATCATTCAGCAGGATTTCTGGCTACCAGGTGTCTTGCATACAGGTAACAAACAGAGATTAGAAGCAGTCTCTTAAAGGGAGTGCTGCTAATCTCATGTTGTTATCTGTATAAAAGACACCTGTCCACTGGAGCAATCAATCAGATTCCAAACTTTTCACCATAAAAAAGACCAAAGAGCTGTCCAAGGATGTCAGGGACAAGATTGTAGACCTACACAAGGCTGGACAGGATACCAAACTATCTCCAAGCAGCTTGGTGAGAAGGTGACAACAGTTGGTGCAATCATTCACAAATGGAAGAAACACAAAACAACTGTCAGCCTGCCTAGGTCTGGTGCACCATGCAAGATCTCACCTCCTGGAGTGTCAATGATCTTGATTAACTCTTTCCTGGCCAACCCCTAGCTTTCCTTTAACTGGGCTATTATGCCAAGGGGGGCGGGAGGGTTTGTCTGATCATGTGACCACTGTGATTGGCCTTCACAGTGGTCACATGATTGGAGGCAGTCCTGTAGGTTCCTGTCCTTGACAGCCCTGTCACTGTGTTGGGAGTGTGCAGTGAGGACCACCCATGTAATCATAAATGTGGTATTTTAGGAATTGAAGCCCACCCTCCTTGCCGCCACACATATGCGTTATATGAGCGGCAACAGGTATTTTTTTGGCACAGAGAACTTAAAAATTTAGCCATTTGCACCAATTGCGCTGAATATTGGGGTAAAATTATTAATACAACTGTTGAGATAATACTGCAGAGTGCACTGGATAGCACTGTATTTCAGGCAGGATCAACAGAGATATAACTAATTGAACAGATATGATGAAACATTTTTGATGGTATACTAACAACAAAAGCTCTGGGAAAGAGGGCTTGGCCATCGAAATGAGTCAGTTTTACGTAGAATTGAGATAGTGACGGAGGGTTACTTTATAGTCCTTCATAAGTTATTGGTGGCCAGTGATTTGAAAGGATCAATACTTGGATGAGTGCTGTGTTTTACATAACGTTTTCCAGTACTCTTGTGAATATTTGAAGTTAATTGGAGATTCTGCACAAGGTCGGTGGGCTCTTTGTTTTGTTGTTGGTGTCTGGCTTAAAGATTTTCCCAATCAGGCATCATTTGCAAGGCCGAGAATGCTATCGTCTAATTGTGGTCCTATTGGAGCATGTGAAGCAATATTGGGCAGTTGGCTACCCTTAGGTGTGTATCCTGTAGCACTTGAGCACTGGTTGGGAGAAATTTGTGTAGCTTGGATAGTATATTTAACTACCTGCCGACCGCAGATAGCCGAATGACGGCTGCACTGCGGCCAGCCAGTTCTGGGTGGACGTCATATGACGTCCTCCCAGAACGCGCTCTCCTGCACGCCCCCGGGGGGGTGTCCTACGGACACAGCTGATCACATGACGTGGTAAAAGGCCAATCACAGCGGCCTTTTACCACGTGATCAGCCGTGTCCAATGACACGCTGATCACCGGGAAATGCAAATGCCGGTTCTCGGCTGCACTTTCCTCTCGCTGTCAGATCGTGAGGACAGTGCTGCCGAAAACCGGCAGTTGTCAGAGCGAGGATCGGCACCGATCATCAGGGTCACTGATCATCAGTGCCCTGATGATCGGTGCCCAGCAGTGCCACACACAAGTTCCGCAAACCTGTGCCACCCAGCAGTGTCACCACCTGTGCCCAGAAGTGCCACCTACCTGTGCCCACCAGTGCCCCCCACCTGTGCCCACCAGTGCCACCCACCTGTGCCCACCAGTGCCACCCATCAGTGCAGCCCAGCAGTGCTGCCAGTCAGTGCCACCAGTCAGTGCCCAGCGGTTGTGCCAGTCAGTGCGCAGCAGTGCCTCCAGTCAGTGCCCAGCAGTGATGTCAGTCAGTGCCACCTATCAGTGCTGTCTATCAGTTCCCATTATCAGTGTCACCTATCAGTGCTGCATATCAGTGCCACCTATCTGTGACACCTCATTAGTGCTTCCTATCAGTGCAGCCTATCCGTGCCACCTCATTAGTGCTGCCTATCAGTGCCGCCTATCAGTGCCCTTCAGTGCTGCCTATCAGTGCCCATCAGTGCCGCATATCAGTGCCCATCAGTGCTGCCTCATCAACGCACATCAGTGAAGGAGAAAAATTACCTGTTTGAAAAATTTTATAATAGAGACAAAGAAAAATTTTTTTTTTTTTTTTGCAATTTTTTTGCTTATAGCAAAAAAAGTAAAGTGCCCAGCAGTGATTAAATACCACCAAAAGAAAGCTCTATTTGTGAGAAAAAATGATAAAAATGATAAAAATTTCATATGGGTACAATCTTGCATGACCGCGCAATTGTCAATCAAAGTGCAACAGTGCTGAAAGCTGAAAATTGGCCTGGTAAAGAAGGGGGTATAAGTGCCCTGTAGGCGAGGGGTTAACAAACGAAAGGGGACAAGTAAGAGTGTTTATATACTCTTTAGACCTTGTACTGTTTTTATTTTTTATTAATTTATGATATTCAAATAAGAGTTGGTTTCTTAAACTGACAGGGACTACTACCATCAACCAAACAAGGTGATCCAAGCATGAGGTAGCTGAGATCTACCAGTAGCACGTCCACCTGGCAGTACTTGGGTCATTGGTTCCAATCCCAGCCATGGCACCCCCTGCCTAGAGTTTGCATGTTCTGGTGATGAAGAATCCCTATACCATACTGGCAGGGCCCTGCCATTCCAACTACAGATGACGGATGTCCCAAGGAGAAGTCACTATTGTTATCAAGTTTTTCCAAAGTTCTATTTTCACCCTGTGTTACATCTGGACATTTTTTTCAGGCCCATTAATCATGATCTACCTAATTCTCTTGAGAAGGGAATAATATTTGTCTGAGGACAGTGTTTTTGCTAACAACAGCATTAGTCTTTACATTTTTATTGGTGCACATAACAGCAGCTATATGTATATTCATGTGTTGCATATATTTCTCTTTTTGATTCTTGCCCTGAGTTGGATTCTATACCAGTATTCCAGCATTTTCTTTCCGGGCTCCTCAGTCCATATCAGGGGCGGACTGACAACTCATGGGGCCCCCGGGCAATAGGGGATCATGGGGCCCCTGTGTCCTTGTCCAAACTCAAAAAAGCCTATGAAAAAGGTACCAGGGGCATCTCATGGTGCCCCCTACTGTCCCCGGGCCCTCGGGCAGTGCCCGAGTTTCCAAATGGTCAGTCCGCCCCTGGTCCATATATACCATTCGTACCAATGTTTTGCATTGCAATTTTGATGCACAGTCCTATGTGTTCCGATTATTTTGTGTACATCTCCTACATGGTGGTGATTCCAATGTGCCTGTGCTGTATATACATAAGACCTTGTGTTGTTGTCTTTACAGCACAATCATAGACATGGCCGGTCATGACGTCCTTCTTTTATAATTTTTTGTTTTAGGTTTTTGGTATTGTCTCATCTTGAGGTGATGGGTAAATGTGGTATTTACCTAAATGTCTAATATGTGCAAAATTTCCAATAAAGCATCATTTTTTGATAAATCTTTAGGTATCGCTTTCTACCCATAATGTAACCGCTTTTTTCTTGTGAATTCTTTTTTTACATACTCCCTATCTGTTTTTGGTTACTTAGCAGATAAAATACGTCCAGCGATATAGATAAATATATATGGCCTCATGCTCCCTTGTTATTATTCTAGTTTGCATGTTCTCCCTGTGCCTGCATGGGTTTCCTCCATGTACCCGGTTTCCTCCCGCGCTCCAAACACATGCTGGCAGGTTAATTGGATCCTGTCTAAATTATCCCTAGTATGTGTATGTATGAATGTGAGTTAGGGACTTTAGATTGTACGCCCCTTGAGGGTTAGGGACCTTAGATTGTATGCCCCTTGAGGGTTAGGAACCTTAGATTGTACGCCCTTGAGGGTTAGGGGCCTTAGATTGTACACCCCTTGAGGGTTAGGGGCCTTAGATTGTACACCCCTTGAGGGTTAGGGGCCTTAGATTGTACGCCCCTTGAGGGTTAGGGGCCTTAGATTGTACGCCCCTTGAGGGTTAGGGGCCTTAGATTGTACGCCCCTTGAGGGTTAGGGGCCTTAGATTGTACGCCCCTTGAGGGTTAGGGGCCTTAGATTGTACGCCCCTTGAGGGTTAGGGACCTTAGATTGTATGCCCCTTGAGGGTTAGGGACCTTAGATTGTACGCCCCTTGAGGGTTAGGGACCTTAGATTGTACACCCCTTGAAGGTTAGGGACCTTAGATTGTACACCCCTTGAGGGTTAGGGACTGATGTGAATGTACAATATATATAAAGTAAAGTGCGGAGTACATTGATGGTGCTATATAAGTACCTGAAATAAATAAATAAAGCTGAACTGCTTTAGACCATCACAATGTACAGTGTGAGACTTTAGCATGGACCTTTATACAGAGTGGTTTTAGGAAAATGTATGTTTTTTCCCTTTTTTTTACAGTCATGTATACCTTCTGTTTGGACAGGCCTGATGAAAGAGCGAGCCTGGACTCATCTCGTCCTGCACATGCTCAGAAACGCGTCGTATTTTGATGATGTCAGACGCCACATGTGCTGATCTCGGACATCTTGGAGACTCTGCCAGGCTCCACCATCCATGCTGCATATGCACAGCACCATCTGCTGGCAGACATCTTGGAGATTCCACCAGGCTTACCATCCATGTTGCACATGCACAGCACTACCTGCTGACGGACTCAATCGATCTCCTCTCTAGATCAGACACACAACTACATCTGGCCTGTTTTTAAATTCTAAGATGTGTATATCAATAATTAACCATGTTGTAAAATTGGATACTAATGTAGCTGTTTTACATAACACATTATAACACAACTAAAAATATTTAATTTTTATATTATTTTATTCACATAACAGCTGATCTATAGCTATGGTTAGTGATAGATAACATGAAAAGACTGGTATCTAGTTGGCGGCCTGGGTGCTGGCGATCCAGCTGTTGTAGTTGCAGACCTTGGTGTAGACACCGGGGTAGTTCCTCAGGGCACAGCCGTATCCCCAGGAGACAATACCCTGGAGCTGTCCATTGCAGACCACGGGGCCACCGGAGTCACCCTGAGAAATAACAGAAATGATAAAAAATTTAGAAAGTCAAAACATTAAAGGAATTTTCAAACACAATTGAGACAAAGGGGCTTTCATTCCAAAGTCCATTCTTTTCGACAATGTATGGCATACATTATTCATTAAATGTTGAACACCAGACATCTAGACTAGTCCAACTTTCCTGAAAAGCAAACCACTTATAAACTTCTTAGGGTACAACATGTGTCTATCATTCCTTACAATTAGTAGCATCTGCTAAATGAACATGAAAAATATGAGATGTAACTAGAGTGATTGCTAATCTAAATTCCCAATGCGATATGGAAAGGAGATTCTCCATCTCCCATCTTTCGTACCCCAAATCCTATAAATCCTGGCACTTATGGTCACTTAATCCCAAATTCACAGTTCAAGTTTGATAGCACCTACCTTTTGGAGTACATTTAACAATTCTGCTTGCTGTGCTTTTTTTTCTACCCTGACTGGTGTTGTTATTAAGCTATAGGTTACAACAGTTAAAGGGGAGTTCCACTCACCCTGTAAAAAAATAAAAGTCAGCAGCTACAAAAACTGTAGCTGCTGACTTTAAAAAAACAGCCACTTACCTGTCCCTCGGTCCCACGGTGTGTCCCCCGTAGCCCGTTTCACCTTCTGTCCTGTATTCCAGGAGGCCGGCATCTTCATTGTGGGCACTTGGATGTGATAGCTTGTGGCTTCACAACCGGGTACCCACTGAGCATGTGCAAGAAGCGCTGCGCTTCATGAATGGTCCTGTAGTCTTCTGGGACCTGTCACATGTCCCAAAAGACTACAGGGAGGGAGGACACTTTCCACTTCTGATTGCCTAGGTGATCGGACCGGAAGCGGGACCTGTCAAATTCGGGTACCCGCTCCCCACCGCCAAAGGTGCCAATCCTTAATGGGGAGCGGGGGAGCAGTTCTTAAAGCGGATCTTCCCCTTTTGGGTGGAGCTCTGCTTTAATCATTCCTCTTACCTCCTCCCTCCCCCATCCTCTCCGCCCTCCCATGGTTCCTGCAGTACTGTTCAAATATATTTCCGTAATGTCTATTTTTACAACTGTTTGCCTTTGTACAACTGTGAACCTATTGTTATCCATGTTCCTTGCTTGCCTCGTTACTTCTAAAATTTAATAAAAATGAGTTGAATATAAAAAATATGAGATGAGTTACCTGGCAAGAATCCTGTCCACCTGCCATGTATCCAACGCAGATCATGTTGCCAGTGATCTCACCAGGGTAAGCACTGTTACACTGGGCAGTGGTCAGAACGGGAGCATTCAGACACTGCAGGAGGTCAGGGTAGTTGGCTAAAGGAAAAAAAGAGACAAAATAAATATAATCAAAATAAATGGCAGAAAGGAAATGTTGATTATACTAGAAAGTAAAGCAAAGATAGATGAAGCCTCTAAGCAGCTGCTAATCAACAGGTTTAGGCAAAGGTCTTAAATAACTGTGAGCCAGCTGACCTTGGTGTGATCATACCTAGCAAGCCCACAAATCCTCCTAAGGGCTTGTTTACACTTGACTAAATTTCTAATTCTTCAAAAACGCCCCCATAGCCTAATGCAGGCCATAGACGTGTCAAAAACCGGCCATTTTTTAATAGAAAAAAAACAAAAAATTGGTCGGTCGTTCGATCGGCCGACATTACCACCAATGGTAAAAAAAAATCAGACGATTTTTGTCCCGCTACGGCCGGCATTTAATTACTTCTGTCCCTTGCAGAGAGCTCCGCTATTATATTTGACATGAAAAAGTATTGCGGTTGCAACATTATATCTATTTGTATCCATTTCGGATACAGATGTTTTTATTTGGATACAAATAGATACATTGTTGCAACCGCAAGACTTTTCATATAAAATATAATAGCGGACTGTAATTCTTCTTCTTTTTCTTCTTCTTCTTCTTCTTTTTCTTCTTCTTGCAGGTCACGGCTCATGCACAGATTTTTTATCGGTAAAATGATCGCCGATTTGCCCATCTTTGCCGGGAAAATCGGCCGATCGGCAAAATCATCCAATTTTTTTCCAACTTTACCGATAAAAAAAATGTGCCAAAACCCCGAAAAATGGCCGACCAATTAACCCACTAACGGTGTGAAAATCGGCCAATTTTTGACCCGTCTATGGCCTGCATTAGACAGGCATTAATGAGCTTTAGTATGGGCAGTCTACAAGCGTTCCCCAAATGCCCTATGAGTGGTTTTGAGGCATTTTCCAAGCATTAAATCCACACTACAAATGCTTATAATAAATTCTAATGGTGTTAACGCCTCACAAATGCCCCACAAACGCCTGCCAGGCATTTGAGGAGCATCACCATAGACTTGAATGGGAGGCGATGAAAGGCTTCAACTGCTCCTGACCAGGGGCGGACTGACCATTTGGAAACTTGGGCACTGCTCGAGGGCCCGGGGTCAGTAGGGGGCCCCATGAGATGCCCCTGTTACCTTTTTCATAGGCTTTTTTGAGTTTGGGCAAGGACACAGGGGCCCCATGATCCCCTATTGCCCGGGGGCCCCATGAGTTGTCAGTCCGCCCCTGCTCCTGACTCAACATGAGGCTTCAATTTTGAAGCAACGGGATGCTAACGTTTCATGTTTAGCTAATGTGAACAGCATTGTGTGCTGCCCATAGTATCATTTTTCATAGGCATTTGAGGAGCTTTAGAAACACTTTCAAACAGAGGCGTATTACCACAAGGCAAACAAGGCATTTGCCTAGGGCAGCATTTTTCAGGGGGGGCAGCATCACCTCCCGAAAGAAGGGATGGAAGAATGGACACATGCAGCATGAGGACCAGGTGGGATCTGAGAGAGTCTGGGGGCTGCTTGATGGTGTATGCAGAGCCTGACTCTTGTTCTCGGGGATGTCCAGAGCTGTGAAGGTCAGTGTCTTCTCTCTTGCCGGCAGGGGCGGACTGACTATTTGGAAACTCGGGCACTGCCCGAGGGCCCAGGGTCAGTAGGGGGCCCCATGAGATGCCCCTGGTACCTTTTTCATAGGCTTTTTTGAGTTTGGGTAAGGACACAGGGGCCCCATGATCCCCTATTGCCCGGGGGCCCCATGAGTTGTCAGTCCGCCCCTGCTTGCCGGGGTGGGGGGGGTTTGCAAGTGTATGGGAGGCGGTGATAGAGGAAGGCTCTCTCGGGTAGGGGTTGGGCTGGAGTGTTGCTCTGTGTCAGGGTCTCTCTCTGTGGGGGGTGGGGGGGGTGGAGCCGATTTTTGTGTTGCCTAGGGCAGCACGAAACCTAAATACACCACTGCTTTCAAAGCTAGTGTGAAGTAAGCATAAAGGTTTTTTTTTTTTTTCCAAAATTGTTTACTATGTTTAACCAATTTCTTGGATAAATTTAGATTATGGAATTGTTAAAACCCCTGGCCTTTTTTTTTTTTATCGTTTTTTTTGCCATCTGTGTCTAATTGGGGAGATTTTTTCTTGCTTCTTGTCCTGCAGAAACAGGAAATTAGAGGACATCTCTTCAAAGTGAGAGGAAATCTCTACTCAGACCATTGGATGATTTACCCAATATTCCTTCTCTGGTGACAACTCATAATTCTGCATGTAAATTCACTTTCAGGGTAGTGATATTGATCACCAGGGCAAAAAAAAGAAAGAAAAATCTCAAGTGGGGACACAGACAGCAATCAAAATCCTTCCCTGTTTCATCATGAAAAAACATAGATACACTTTAACTACACAAGTGGCTTAGGGGATTAATGGTCAATGATATAATTGTCTTGACTTACTTCCGCTGCTCAGAGTGTTGCCCCATCCGGAGATCAGACAGCTGGTACCGGCGGCAGCGCAGCCAGAGGGCAGAGCCACGGTACCGACGTAGGCGTTGAGGGTGGCGGGAGTGGCGAGCTTGACCAACATGATGTCGTTGTCCAGGGTTCTGGAGTTGTAGCCGGCATTTCTGATGATCCTAGAAGCGGTGATGAACTGCTCGGTTCCCTCAGAGGAAGCGATGTTGTGCTCTCCCAGTCTGACCTGCATGCTCCTGGATAGACATAAGTGCAATGAAGTTATGGGATCCAAATCTGTGTCCCTTGGTCCTCAAAGGGTTAAAAGCTGATCTCTGGCCAAAAGAAGTTCTTTTAAATATATTTTTTCAAGAGTCACCAAGTTTTTCATAAAGTTATAACCCCTGAGCAGGGGCGGACTGACCATTTGGAAACTCGGGCCCGGGGTCAATAGGGGGCCCCATGGGATGCCCCTGGTACCTTTTTCATAGGCTTTTTTGAGTTTGGGCAAGGACACAGCGGCCCCATGATCCCCTATTGCCCGGGGGCCCCATGAGTTGTCAGTCCGCCCCTGCCCCTGAAAATATAAGGGGAGCATGGTGATTCAGTCTCAGGTCTGTATTTAACAGTGGTAAGCCTATGTGCTGCAATTACACATTTATGTTCTATCCAGGGCCATCTTTAAGGCAGGACAAGAGGGGCAGCTGCTATGGGACCCTACATCAGGGGCGTATTTACCACTAAGCAAACAAGGCATTTGCCTAGGGCGGCATCTTTCAGGGGGGCAGCGCTGCCCACCTACAGAAGGGATGGAAGAAGAGACACACACAGCATGGGGACCAGGTGGGATCTGAGAGAGGCTGCGGGCTGCTTGATGGTGTATGCAGAGCTTGACTCTTGTGCTCGGGGATGTCCGCAGCTGTGAAGGTGAGTGTTTTCTCTCTCACCAGGGTGGGGGGGTTGCCAGTGTATGGGGGGCGGTGGTAGTGGAAGGCTCTCTTCTAGGGTGGGAGGGGCTGGAGTGTTGTTGGTCAATGTCAGGCACTCTTTGTGGGGGAGGGGGGTGTTGGTTGGTATCAGGGTCTCTCCATGGGGGGGGGGAGCAAATTTTTGTGTTGCCTAGGGCAGCACAAAACCTAAATACACCCCTGCCCTGTATCCTACCAATCTTTCCCTGTCACATAATGTGTAAGCAGTAATCAGCAGTGTCCATAACTGACAGTGGAGCTGGCAGAGCAGAGAGACACACTGACAAGCAGTGGCAGGGGCCAGAGGAGCGAGGGAGGATCGCAGTGAGAAGAGGATAACATCATCAAGATGGCATGAATGAGCAGACAGTTGGTATGTGACGTAATTAACAACCTGAATGAGCTCATCTGCTTTGCTGAGCTGAACTCTCTCACTGCTTTAGCCTTAACTATAACCAGGGGCGGACTGACAACTCATGGGGCCCCCTGTGCAATAGGGGATCATGGGGCCCCTGTGTCCTGCCCAAACTCAAAAAAGCCTATGAAAAAGGTACCAGGGGCATCTCATGGGGCCCCCTACTGACCCCGAGCCCTCGGGCAGTGCCCGAGTTTCCAAATGGTAAGTCCGCCCTTGACTATAACTCATCTCTTTGCATGTTACGATCATTATCAGTGTTGTCAGAATGAATATAATCCTGGCTGGCTTGATTAACTCCATCTTTCCTGCCACGTGTTACATTCTGCTGCAATGCAAGTCAACACTTCTACTCTGGCAAGGGGACTCCTGTGTAAGTTTGCAGCATAATCTATCTAGCAACCAGTCAACTAGCAGTAATGATGTGCAGTAACCTCTAGCAACCAATCAGTGAGCAGTAAGGATGCACAGTAACCTCTAGCAACCAGTCAGTGAGCAGTAATAAGGTGCAGTAATGTCTAGCAGCCAATCAGTGAGCGGTAAGGATGTGCAGTAACTACTAGCAACAAATGGGTGAGCAGTAATGATGCACAATAACCTCTAGCAACCAATCAGTGAGTGGTAAGGATGTACAGTAACCTCTAGCAACTAATCCGTGAAGTTAATGATGTGCAGTAAGCTCTAGCAACCAGTCGCTCGACTTTTCATGAATGGGCTTGTTGGTGTATATTCACTTGATCTGCGCATGCAGCCAATAAGCTGCAGTGCTGATCAGTATATTCTGATGGCGGGGAAGGATTTCCCCATCCACCTCAAATATGTGGATGAGAAAATCAGTCTTTATTCGTACAGCCAACTGGCTGAATATTAAAATTGAGCTATGTGTGGCCAGCTTAATAGTTTGTTCCAGTGTGTCACTTTTGTAGGACACCTTGATCTTCGTGTCAATAAAAAAATCAAAATACAAATGATATGCATACTGTTACCAAATGAAAAGAGATATCAAAATGTATTTTTTTTTTTTTATAGTAGTCCTATAATAATTCATTAATAAGTAAATCACGAAAAGAGACCGTCTAGTCAGCCCCTCCATAATGCAACCAACCAGTCAGTCAGCCAGCCAGCCAACCAGCCAAACAACCAACCGACTAGCCAGCCAGCTAACCAATCTACAAACCAACCATCCAGCCAACAAATCATGTAACGTAAATCAAGAAATTAGACCAACTAGTAAGCCCCTCCACAATCCAACCCAACAAGTCAGCCAGCCAATCAAACAACCAACCAACCAGCCAGCCAGCCAACTAATCAACCAACTAATCAACCAGCCAACCAACCAACCAGTTAATATACTAACCAACCAACCCGGCAGCCAGCCAAATCATGACTCCAAACTATTCTGGTAAATACTAGTATCATCAAAATTCTACTTACGACATGTAGCAGTGAGCAGCGGAGAGCACCCACAAGGAGTTGAGGAGGGATCCACCACAGAAGTGATATCCAGCATTCAGAGATACCTGGTACTTGACGGAGTTCTTGGTACAGGTGTAACCTCCAACGATCTTGTCATCATCCAAGGCAGCTGGGAATAAAATACACTCGTGTCATTCAGAAACTCGGAGTAAAACCATGAAGGCCATTAAAATTACAAAATAGAAAGTACTTTGTGCATTTGTTAACATCTATATTGGTGTACAAAAGGATTTTTCCCTTCAAGCACAGGCAGGGCTGCTGTTAGAAACGAAGGGGCCCCATACGGCCAATATAACAGGACCCCCCAAATAAACACAGTTACTAGGCTTCAGTTATGAATGAACACAGTGAGTGATCGGTGCTGATCACCACTGTGTTCATTCAGGAAAGGAAGGGGCTGGTAAATGTGACATATTCACCGGACCTTTACCCCACTCTCCATCCTGAAGGATCCTATTGTGTGCTTGCAGCTTCCAAAGGAAGTCGGCAGCACTGCGAGGGTTGGGGGGGCTTGGGCAGCATGGGGAAATGTATGGTGCACTGGGAGGGTGTTGCAGAGCCATACAGGGGATCAGTTCTAGTAATTGCTCCCCCCTGCTGTGCCGATCACCCTCCCTGCACACATCCAATTCACCCTGCTGCCTGGGCCCCATACAGGAGGACCAGTGGTACCCCCTAATCCACAGCCCTGAGCACAGGTATAGAGTACCCACCAGCTGCTCCGAGGAGCACACAGATCAGAAAGAGTTTCATGATGGTAAGGTGACCAGTGAGTGACCTGTTGGACCTACTGTAAGAAGGGTATTTATATGTTTAGCTGCACACCCCCCATCTGGGTCGGTACATGTATACTTCTGTTAATGTATAGACAATATTTACACTATATGATCAGAGTGGGCGTATTTATCAGCAACCTTGAGATACTATTTTGGTCATGGAAAGAAAATTTTATCAAATGTACATATCATTTTATTCACTCTACACAGCCCCAGGATACCTGCAGGAATTATAGTTACATTGGTCTTAAAAAGACAAGTAAAGTTGTTACAGTGGTAGAAAAATTGAGGAAAAAAAATATTCTATGATATTATAATTCTTTTCCAAACACAATCAGATTTACATTTCCTCTCTTATGTAGGAGAGGATACAATTACATATACAGCATGCTCAAAAATATTTTGACAACAGTTTTGTTTTCATGGTTATACAATATTGATGTACCGTATTTTCCGGCGTATAAGACGACCCCCTACTTTTCCTGTTAAAATATAGGGTTTGGGCTATACTCGCCGTATAAGACTACCCCTCTTCCAACGCACACCAAATAAAAATTAAAAAACATCAGATTTGATTTCAATATGGTATGCTATTTCAGTATGGTATTCCAATGATGGGGTGCTATTCCTCCCACTGACACCAATGATGGGGCACGATTCCTCGCTCTGACACCAATGATGGGGCACGATTCCTCGCTCTGACACCAATGATGGGGCACTATTCCTGCTACTAATACCAATGATGGGGCACTATTCCTCCCACTGATACCAATGATGGGGCACTATTCCTCCCAGTGATACCAATGATGGGGCACTATTCCTCCCACTGACACCAATGATGGGGCACTATTCCTCCCACTGATACCAATGATGGGGCACTATTCCTCCCACTGATACCAATGATGGGACACTATTCCTCCCACTGATACCAATGATGGGGCACTATTCCTCCCACTGACACCAATGATGGGGCACTATTCCTCCCACTGATACCAATGATGGGGCACTATTCCTCCCACTGATACCAATGATGGGGCACTATTCCTCCCACTAATACCAATGATGGGGCACTATTCCTCCCACTGATACCAATGATGGGGCACTATTCCTCCCACTGACACCAATGATGGGGCACTATTCCTCCCACTGATACCAATGATGGGGCACTATTCCTCCCACTGACACTAATGATGGGGCACTATTCCTCCCACTGATACCAATGATGGGACACTATTCCTCCCACTGATACCAATGATGGGGCACTATTCCTCCCACTGACACCAATGATGGGGCACTATTCCTCCCACTGATACCAATGATGGGGCACTATTCCTCCCACTGATACCAATGATGGGGCACTATTCCACCCACTGATACCAATGATGGGGTACTATTCCTCTCACTGATACCAATGATGGGGCACTATTCCACCCACTGATACCAATGATGGGGCACTATTCCTCCACTGATACCAATGATGGGGCACTATTCCTCCCACTGACACCAATGATGGGGCACTATTCCTCAGACTGATAACAATGATGGGACACTATTCCTCCCACTGACACCAATGATGGTGCCCCATCATTAGTGTCAGTGTGTGAGGAATAGTGTCCCATCATTAGTGTCAGTGGGAGGAATAGTGCCCCATCATTGGTATCAGTGGGAGGAATAGTACCCCATCATTGGTATCAGTGGAAGGAATAGTGCCCCATCATTGGTGTCAGTGGGGGAAGGAGTAGTGTTCCATCATTGGTGTCAGTGTGTGAGGAATAGTGTCCCATCATTAGTGTCAGTGGGAGGAATAGTGCCCCATCATTGGTATCAGTGGGAGGAATAGTACCCCATCATTGGTATCAGTGGAAGGAATAGTGCCCCATCATTGGTGTCAGTGGGGGAAGGAATAGTGCCCCATCATTGGTGTCAGTGGGGGGAGGAATAGTGCCCCATCGTTGGTGTCAGTGGGGGCGGAGGAATAGTGCCCCATCATTGGTGTCAGTGGGGAGGAGGAATAGTGCCTCATCGTTGGTGTCAGTGGGGGAGGAATAGAGCCCCATCGTTGGTGTCAGTGGGGGGGGAGGAATAGTGCCAATAGTGTTCCAGCATGGTGCTGCTGCACACTTACCGGCCGCTCTCTCACTTGATTTTCGCTGAGCAGCTCGGCGCCGCCTCCTTGCCGGTGATTGGCCGCCTGTGTGCCTTTCCTGAGCTACAGTTCTGGCGCCCAATCACCGATGAGGGGGCGGACATCGAGCGGCTGAACAGAATAAAGGAGCAGCTGCGCTTCCTGGACCGGATCGTCGTGGGACCGGGACCCGGAGCCAGGTAAGAAACAGCAGCCCCCCCCGCCCGCCCCTGTACTTAGTGTCTCTTGGAAGGGGGGGGGCGGCACCACGCCGCCCCCCGAAAAACTGCCGCCTTGACACTGGCTCGCTGTATACCAGCGTATAAGACGACCCCTGACTTTTCATAAGATTTTCATGGGTTAAAAAGTCATCTTATACGCCAGAAAATACGGTACTTTGAAGTATACTACTTTATCAATATAATATTTTCTTTATTTTTCATTATTACTATAGTCACTACAGTCTTTGATTTAAATGTGTAGTAATTTAGATGACAGTTCTGTCATAACATAGAAAAGGCTGACTTTTTTAAAATAAGTCAAGGGATCAAGCGCAAAAAGAACCATCTAGTAAGAAAGTCTAAATCCCAATCACTGACTCTGTATAAGCACTAGTGTAGTGAATCCATATATCCAGAAAACAAACAGCGCTGTGAGAATGGATGGTATTCTAACCTCACATGGAGGTGTACCTTTATTGGAAATGCAATAAAAAATTTTTTATTGCATTTCCAATAAAGGTACACCTCTGTTTGACCCTTTCTCTGGACAGATACATAATAAAAGACACAAGTTTTTGCATCTCTATATTCATTAATACTGTACATTATAAAATTAATTTTTTTTAATTGCTAGCAATGTAAGTAGCTGAATTTAACTTGGTATCAGGCTCTTACAGTCCCTGTACAACAGAGCTTAAAGAAGGGTAAAGGGAAGCAGTACAATACTCCAATCAAATGTGCCGTAGCACAAGGGTGCAGTCCAATCACATGGTGGGGGTGGGGAGGAGACCTATAAGTACTATTTAACCACTTGCCCTCCAGAGGATTTACCCCCCTTCCTGACCGGGCCATCTTTTGTGATACGGCACTGCGTTACTTTAACTGACAATTGCGCGGTCATGCAATGAAATTAAATTTACATCCTTTCTTTCCCACAAATAGAGCTTTCTTTTGGTGGTATTTGATCGCCCCTGTGCTTTTAATTTTATGCCCTATAAACAAAAAAACAACGACAATTTTGAGAAAAAAATATATTTTTAACTTTTTGCTATTAACCACTTGCCGCCCTGCCACTGTAGAAATACGGCGGCAGGGCGGCACGGGCAGGCAAAAGCACGTTTTAAAACGTGTGTTTTGTAAACAGATAGGGGAAGCGCGCGAGGCGCGCCGCCGCCCTATCTGTCCCGCCGATCACCGCCGCGGATGTCAGTCGCCGGGTCACAGCCGGTCCTTACCAGCTGTTTCCCAGCGATCGGCGGAAAACAGTGACAGAGAGCACAGCTGCAGTAGCTGTGATGTCTGTCACTTCCTTGTCAGCTCAAGGACGAGCTGATCGAGAAAAAAGGGTTTCTCTCTCTCGATCAGCGGTGTCCCGTCCAGCACACACTCCGCCCCCTAGTAAAACACTCCCCTCACACAGATAACCCTTCCCTACAAAATAAAGTTAACCCCTTCCTCCCCAGTGCCATTAGTACAGTGTCAGTGTTTTTTTTTTTTGCACTGCATGATCACTGTATTAGTGTTTTTGGGGATGTCAGTGACCCCAAGTCAGTACCCCCAATGTCAGAATGTCCGCCACAGTCCCGCAGTCCCGCCATAAGTCGCTGGTCGCTGCCATAAGTCACTGATCGCCGCCATAATTCGCTGATCGCCGCCATTATTAGTATAAAAAAAACCCTAAAAATCCCAGTACCTTTCCCGCCATTTGTAAACGCTATAACTTTCATGTAAACCAATTAATTTACACGTATTGGGTTTTTTTAGCAAAGACATGTCGCAGAATGCATTTTGGCAGAAATTTATGACTAAATTTGATTTTTGCATTTTTTTTTTACTGGACATGTTTTATAGCAAAAAGTCCAAAATATTGTTTTTTTTCCCTCAAAATTGTCAGCCTTTTTTTTTATAGCGCAAAAAATAAAAACCGCACAGGCGATCAAATACCACCGAAAGAGAGCTCAATTTGTGGGGAAAAAAAGGATGTAAATTTCATTTATGTACCGTATTGCATGACCGCGCAATTGTCCGTTAAACTAGCACAGCGCTGTATAGCAGAAAAATGGTGTAAATTACAGTATTTATACCATAGTTTGTAGACGCTATAACTTTCACACAAAGCAATCAATATACACTTATTGGGATTTTTTTTTACCAAAAACATGGAGCAGAATACATTTTGGCCTAAATTTATAACCAACTTTGAGTTTACTATATATTTTTTATAGCTGAAATTAAAAAATATTGTTTTTCTTCAAAATTTTTGGCCTTTTTTTGTTTATAGCGTGAAAAATAAAAAGCGCACAGATGATCAAAATATCAAAGAAAGCTCTATTTGTGTGAAAAAAAGGACGTAAATTTTGTTTGGGTGCAGCATTGCATGACCGCGCAATTATCAGTTGAATTAGTGCAGCGCCGAGTAGCAAAAAGAGGCGTGGTCATTAAGGGGGGTAAATCCTCAGGAGGGCAAGGGGTTAAACATGTTTTGTCATAAATTTAGGCCAAAATGTATTCTGCTCCATGCCTCTGCTAAAAAAAAATCCCAATGCCTGTAAATATATTGGTTTACATGAACGTTATAGCGTTTACAAATGGCGGTATAGATACTGGAATTTTTTTGTTTTTCTAGTATTG